CCCCCGTCCCCCCTCCCCCTCCGTCGGCCCTCGCGCCCTGCGCCGCGGGCCGTGCCCCCCTTCCCCCCCTCCCCCTCCTCGCCCTCTTGCCCCCGCCTTCCTCCCGCCCCCCCCCCCCCCCCCCCCCCCCCCCTCCTCGCCCCCCCCCCCCCCCCCCCCCCCCCGCCCCCCCCCCCGCCCCCCCCCCCCCCCCCCCCCATTTCCCGTTCGACCCTCTGCGGCATTCCTCCGCGCTGGTCGGGGGAGGGCCGGAATATGCCAGTACGGCTCTCCCGCCTGTCCGGCGTTAAGACCACGGCCGCACCCATCTCGGCTCTGGGCGCTCGTTTTCCGGCCTGGCCATGGGGGGGGGGGGGGGGGGGACATCGTCGTCACTAATCTCGCGCTTTGGGGCCGGGCAGGTGATGCCGTCGTGCCCCGTCGTGCGCCTCTGCCGCGCCCCTCGTCGTTGGCTCGATCTGGCGCCCTGAGCGCACAAGGCCTCGCCCTCTCTCTGCCTTGCTCTGGGACTGAGGGTACGTGCGCACATGACTGGCCACCTATGGCGGCACACATCTCCGACACTGGCAGCGCTTCCCTGCTCTGTCCCGCCTGTCTCCCCTGTCCCCCCCCCCCAGGACGCGCCTTATAGATCTGCCCAACCTCGCAGACGGCTGCGGTTATTGCGCGGCCAGGCGTGTCCCTCCGGGCACACTGTGGCCCCGTCCGTCAGGGAAAGAGAACTGGCGAATGGCGAGGTCATCCTTCCCCGCGCGCCAGGTGTGCGTGATGTGTCAGGCCGTGGCATGCCGATCAGCCGCGCCCATGCCCCCCCCCCCCCCCCCCGCGCCGACGCGGCTCGGACAAAGGAATTCGGCCCCCGATCCTGAGGCCCCGGGCACCACGGACCCCCTGGGCGCCGCGCGCCCTCCGGCCTAGCCGATCCACGCGCCAGTGGCGGCCTTCGCCCCACCCCCCGGGTGCTGCAGCGCACCCAACCCCCCCTCCCTGCCCACTCCCGAGCTCCCCCTGCACAAGGGCCTCCCCCACACGATTGTCGAGCTGGCCCGGGGCGAAGGACTTGAACCACCCTCGCTTTCAGGGGGGAACGGTTCCCCCAGGCAAGGACCTCCCCTCCCCTACTTTCTCCCTCCCTATCTGCTGTTGCTGTCCCCTTGCCCACCCCGCCCTCTTGTCTGCCTCTTCCCCGTGTCCCTCCTCCCCTCCTCCCCCTTGCCCCTCCCTCCCCTCCCAGCAAGACATCCCCCCCCCCCCCGGCCGGCACAGTGCCCCCTGCCTGCATATAGGTGCGCGCCCATGTGCCCTCCCCCTCCTACCCAGCCCAGCTCCCCATAGCCCATGGCATGCGCCGACACATGGGCATACCCCGCATACGGCTCCCTCTTGCTGATCATCTGCCTCCCCCCTCTTGGCTAGACACGCGTCCTCCTGGTAGCCCAGCCTCCTGCTCCTGCTCTCGCCCCCGTCCCCCCTCCCCCTCCGTCGGCCCTCGCCCCCTGGGGGATGAGCCATGTCCGCTACCCCCCCTGCCGCTAATGCCGCTGCCGCCCCCTCGGCGGAGCCGGACCACCTTTCCCCGAGCGCCCTCAAGAATATGCTCGCACAGGGGGTCCCACAACGGTCGAACTCCCTGATCGACCGCCGCCGCAACAAGGTCCCCTCGCTGAAGATCGCCATCCTCTCCACCGGCGCCGGCGTCGCCGCCTCCAACCCCGGATCCAGCTGTTCATCGCCGCTGAGTCTCGAGGCTCCGGGACTCGGGGGCGCCCGTGGCGGCGACTCCAACGACCTGCGCCCCCTGCCCTCGCCTCTGGGCGGTGGCCGATCCTCCTCGGCTCCGCTGCACGGTGCGTACTTGACGCCTCCGTCCCCCCCCCCCCGCTACTACCTCCATCTGACCCTCTCCCCCCCCCCCCCCCCCCTCCCCCAAACCACCCTCACCTGTCCTGCTGCTCGCCCTCCCTCGTCCCCTCCCCCCCTCATGTGCAGGTCCCGCGTCCAAGCTCTCCATCAGCACGGTCCTGGATGAGCCGAGCTCCGCCCCGCCGGCCGACGCCCGGCCGCCGGCGCTCAACCTCCCCCAACCGTCGATAAGGCAAAGCCAGACGGTCGGCGGGGGCGGCGGTGGGGGTGGCGGTGCCCATGCGGCCGGTGATGACTCCATCCCCTCCATGGTCCTTCCTTTTCTCTATCTGGGCGGCGAGCACCACGCCCGCGACGCCGCGCGCCTGTCCACCTTGGGAATATCCGGTGCGTCCCGATGCATGTGGGGATCCTCGTCGTGCATTGGCCGGCCATGGGGCCTTCTTCTTCTCCTCCTCCCCCATCCTTCTCCTTCTGTTGTTGCTCCTCCCGTTCGCTCTCTCTCTCTCTCTCTCTCCCCTACCTCTTCCTCTCTCTTTCTCAGCGCGCCCTGTCCATCCACCCGCCTCCTTTGAGCTTTCGCTGACTCTCTCCCCCCCCTCCTCGCCGATGCCCTGCACGCATCGCTTTCCCCATAGCTCTCCTCAATGTGGCCATCGAGTGCGATGTGCCGCCCGGCGCGGCGGCCAAGATGTCCCCCCCCCTGCACGGCAGCATCGATCCAAAGCAGCAAATCATCCCCAACTCGGCTCCCTCCTCTCCGGAGCTGCTGAACACCATCAACTCCTCCTCCTCCTCCTCCTCCTCGGTCACCGGCAGTCCGGATGCGGGCACCTCCATTGCCCCGGCCGAGAGCATCACACCGCCCTTGCCGCCAGTCATCACCAGCTACTGCCATTTGCCGATCCGGGACAATCTGGAGGAGGACATCATGCAGTACTTTGAGCCTGCTTTCAAGTATATCGGTCCGTATTCCGTCCTTTCCCGCATCTCCATTGTGTCTGTCTCCCTCCCCAAGCTCACCTTTCCTCCTGCCCCACTGTCTGCCCCGTTTCCCCTGTGCCCTGGCATCTGCCTCTCTCCGTTGCCCCTTCGACTTGTGTTGCGTGTGCATGGAAACGGCGTTCCCCACCTCGCGCGGGTTCACACGAATGCAGACGCCTGTCGCGAACGCAGTGAGAAGGTCCTCGTACACTGTGCGGCCGGTCGGTCACGCTCTCCCACCGTCGTCATGGCGTACTTGATCGCCCGCGAGGGGTATGTCCCATCTGCTCTCCCTTTTCTGTCTCTCTCTCTCTTTCTCTTCTGTCTCTCTCTCTCTCTCTCTCTCTCTCTCTGTCTGTCTGTCTCTCTCTCTCTCTCTCTCTCTCTCTCTCTCTCTCTCTTCTGTCTCTCTCTCTCTCTCTCTCTCTCTCTTCTGTCTCTCTCTCTCTCCCTCTCTCTCTTTCTCTCCCCCCCCTTCTCCTCCTGTGCCCCCACTCCGCGCACCCCCATCTAACACATGGCACCATGTACCCTCACCCAGCTGGACCCTTGCTAAGGCGTATGAGCACGTTCAGAACCAGCGCCCCTTCGTCTGCCCCAACCTCGGGTTCATGTTCATCCTGGCCGAGTGCGAGCGCGTGTCCAAGCAGCGTCGCGCCTCGGAGCGCACCGCCTGCGACAGCCCTTCCTGTCCGCTGCTGGGACCGATGATCGTGCTCCCGGGCGATGTCCCCAGCGAGCAGTGCAGCTGCTTGGCATCTCCCCGGTTGGCGTCCCCTTTCCTGTCGTCGGCGGCCATTGCCGCGGCCACGGCCGCCGCCGACGCCCGGACACCACTCCCCCTCGACGGCGAGTACACCGTTCCGATCCTGCCGCACTCCCTCAACACCGGTGGCGCCGGGGCCGAGGGCAATAGTGGTGCCGATGCCAGCTCCATCGCTGCTGCCATCGCCGCCACTGGCACCGGCCCCGCTACTGGACCCGGTCACCGGGGTTCCTCCTCCGGGACGTCGACGCCCCCTTCCATTGCCGAGCCCCTGCGTCATCATCCTCATCCGCACCAGCACCAGCACCAGCACCAGCACCCGTCCGGCCTCACTGCCGCGGGTCCCGGAGGGGGACCCACCTCCCTCGCTCCCTTTTCTTCCTCCACTTCCTCAGTATCCACCCAGGCCACCGAACAGATCCTACTTGGTCTAAACCGCGCTTCGATCTCCTCGCATCCGCCGCGTGTCCTTGTTCTTGGCGGCTCCGATGACGGGGCCGCTGGCGATGATGCTGACCCAGGCCCTGCCAGCAGCTCGGCCCTTGCTGCTGCTGCCCCCCCGCCTGCCTCCCGGCTGGCTGATGGCACCCATGCGGCGTTGGCTCCGTCGTCTGCTGCCCCTGCGACGACCGAGAGCACCGGCGGCGGCGGTGTCTTCCATGCGCCAATCAGCCTGGACACCCTGAAGCAGGTTCCCCCCTTTGACACTCCTTCCACCACTTCCTCCTCCTCTTGTTAATCGCCTCCCCCCTCTCAATGGACATGCCTTCGTAGTTTCATGTTTCCCTTAGTCGCGCCCGGTCCCATGTGTGTGTGTGTGTGTGCGTGTGTGTGTGAGTGTGTGATGCGTGTGTATTCGACGCTTCGCCGTCACACCTACGCACACAGAGAAAAAGAAGCTCCAGCCTGAGTGTATGTGCGCATGGCCTGGGACCAAGGCATGAGCACACCCATACTGTCCAGGAGCATTACGCAGGTGTGCATGCAGTTTAATGTATGTATGTGTGTATGTGTTTGGGGGAGAGAGGAGGAGATGCACTTGGCGTGGATTCCAATGCACCGGACATGGAGCAGTCTAATCCCGCCATCAGTACCGCCGAGAGTCATTCCGAGAGTGATCTTGCCACCGGGAGGGGCTACGACCACGGCGAGCATCCGGGCTACGACCACGGCGAGCGTCCGGGCTACGACCACGGCGAGCATCCGGGCTGTGACTCCGATCACGGTAGGAGGGGGGACTGCGACTCCGGCGACGATGTCCATCGGGGGCGCGGTCGGACCGCCCACCGGGGCTGCGGCTACGACTGCGACTCCGCCATCGCTGGCGGGGAGGGCTGTAACTGCGATCACGATCGCGGCCACGATCACGGCCAGGCCCACGCCCATGCTCCTGGTCGGCGTCAACCGGGCCGCGGGCCGGCTGAAGGGGAGAGGGGCTACGGCTGTGTCGCCTGGGCGATCGATCAACCGACCGGGCCCGACGCCGGTCGGGGCTACGGCTACGGTCGCCGCGACCCGGGCTCCGGCTCCGGTCGCGAGAGGCCCGCCCTGTGGGAGACTCAGCGCCGGATGCAGGCAAATGGCCATCCCCGGCGGGGATCTCACTGGCCGGCGGCTCCGAGGGGGTCTTGGTGCGCCTCTTCTTTCGGCGCTTTTCCTCCGGGCCCTGGGATGTTTGCTGGATGATGGCCGCGATCTCGGCATCCAGCTGGGCCGAAATGTCGTCCATTGTGCCACCGGCCGCGAAGGGATCGACATCCGCGTCATCCTCGGCCGTCGTGGCCGGCGCCGCACCCGATGCAGGCCCACCGGTGAATGCCTGCTCAACCAGGATCCGGGATGTGGACACCGGCGCCCGGACCAATGTCAAACCCAGGGTGGCGATGTTATCCCGGATGTCTGTGCCAGAGAGCGAAGGAGGACAAACATCAGTCATGACTGCATGGCAAGGAGGAGGAAAGGAGAAAAAGAAGGAAAGGAACCCCGGCCGAACAAATCAGCAGGGAAGTGGGGCAAGAGGAGAAAAAAAAAAGAGATGCCCTGGCCAGCTGCACAGGGGGCAGGCATGCACCTTCCGGATGCAAAGACAGCGCCTTGCGTTTGCGTGCCTCCTCGGCAAGCTCCTCCTCGGTCAGATCGCGCTCGCGCCATCGGCCATCCTCGCCCTTCTCCATCTTCGGCCGGGGCTGATAGTTGGCGTGCGACACGGAAAGCGTGCGCCCGAGCAGCTCCACGCCGTTGAGGTTGTCCACGGCCAGGTTGGTGGACCGCTGGTCCTCGAAGGCCACAAAGCCGAAGCCCCGGCTGACGCCAGTCTTATGGTCGCGGACTAGGTGGATGTCCACCGGCTCGCCGAACTGCGACAGGACGCAAATGACATCCCCCTCGGTGAGGCCCGGATGCAGGCCGCCAATGTGGATGTATGCCGATCCCTTGTGGTGGTCATGCCAGCTGGACGAGTCGCCGGCCAGGCGGGCCAGCGCCAATGACCGCTCGGCCATCTTTCGGCCCTTTCGCATGTGCCTGCTCGCCGTGCAAGCACGTACGCCCGTGTACGTCCATGTGTGTGTGTGTGTGTGTGCGAGCGCTGGTCAGTGAGCTTGAAAGGCCCTCCCAAGGGGGACATGGCCAAGTCGATCGTACTCCATGGTGGCGGGGGATGCGGGTGGGCAGCAGTGCGTGTATGCGGCCGTGGGAGCAGGGGCTTCCTGAGGACGGGTATGTGTGATGCAGGGACAGGGAAGAAAGCGAATTGGTGATGGCGATCGAAGGTGGGGAGGTAATTCTGACCGGACAACCTGCCACGACCTCGAGAGGGGTGGGCTTTGATCCCTGGCGCGTGGCTCGGTTGTTGGCTCTCGCCCTTGGGCGAGCGGCCCCCCGCCCCTTCTCCGCGGTCCGTCACGAAGATCCGCCCCCCTGGTTCGGTCCCCCCTTCCGGTGTGCTTGCTCCCCGAGCCGTTGCCACAACGCGCAGGCACCGGCCATAGTTGGTCCCGGATCGGTGGGCCATTTTCAGCCCGGACGGAAGGCAGCCCAGCTGCCGCCGATTGCATCCGTACTATTGGCATCCATTCGTATCGGGTGATCAGCAGCAACACCATTCCGAGCCCTGCCATGGCCCTCTTGCGCGCGTCGATAGGCACCGCCCTGCCCTGCTCCTTTTGCGGGTGTCGCCGGGGCCGGAGCAGCCCCAGGGCGCGGCGTCCGGTGTGCGCATGCGTTGGCGCACAGCGGCGGGGCCGGGCATCCGGCAAGGATCCGGGCAGACTACTCTCTTCGTGGTCGGATTTTTGACTACACTCCTCCCGCCCTGGTGCTTGTCTGGCACCGGGTGCCGCCGGCATTAGCTGGCCAGCCGACATTTGCAGACCGGCGGGGGGCGACATTTTCTACCTTGGTCTTGGCGTGAGGGCGTGCTTTTCGATCCCCCCCCCCCCCCCCCCCGCCCCCGCCCCCCCGGGGGGTGGGAGGTGCAGGCTGTAGGTAAGATCTCTCCATCGACCATGAGGCTCTTGCCGCGGGTGAGAGAGTGCCCTGGCAGCGCGCTTGCGTCAGGGAGTGTGCCTTGTGGAGTTTTTTTTTTGGCAACAAGGCAGCAGGTGTAAGAATGTGTGTGTGTGTGTGTGTGTGTGTGTGTGTGTGTGTACATGTGTGTATTCACGGATGCGCGTCCGCGTGGGGACGTGAGCGAGTGCATGCTCTGGGCGAGGGCTTGATCGGGCATTTCCTGCGCGGTTTCTCCTGGCATCCCCCCACCCCCCGGCCAGGGCGGGTGCACAACTGTCCCGCCAGGTTCTGCGTATGTTCCTCCGGCGCCTCATGCCTCCTTCTCTCGGAGGCCGTGCGGGGGGGGAGAGGGGGGGGGGGTCAAAGACACCTGGGAGCTGGATTAAATCCCCAAAGACGGGCGATGGCCAGGGAGGGAGAGTGGCACATGGTTGTGGGGGCACGCCTCTCTCCAGTACTCCTGAGCGGTATGGGTCGGTTCGGGGGGGGGGGGGGGGGCCAACGGGAGCCAGGGATGTTGGCCCCTCGGGCTGGGGGGAAGGACCCTGCGGTGGCGGCGGTGGTGGCGCAGGGTTGCGGGGAGCGCGGCCCCGGGGGATTGATGCTGTCGCGCGCGCGCGGCGCGCGGCGCCCGGGTGCCGGCACAGCGCGCCTCCGTCGCACCAAGACCGGGGTGAGGAGGGAGACGACCCTCTGTCCCCCTCCCCTCCTCCTGGGGTCCATTCCTGCTAGATGTCCCCCCTCGTCGCGGGACGCCGCGTTATTTGGGGGACGATCATGGCGCCGGGTGCCCTCGACAGGGGGCGTCCCCGGCATCTGAGTGTTTCGCAGTTGTTTCCCCCCTCCGCGTCTCGATCCCCGCATCGTACCTACCACTCCCTTTCCCTTTTCTCTTCCTTGTGCTGGCCGCCGTCTTCCTCCCCTCCCCCGCTCACGCTGTGTCTCCTTCTCTCTCTCTCTCTCTCTCCCCTCTCCGTGCCGAGCAGGAGCACTGCCGCCAGACAACCCCCCCCGCAAACATGACCACCGACTCCGACATGGCGAAGCTCTTCTCGCGCATCGGCCTTGATGACACCAAGGCCCTCGAGACCACCAAGAACCCCCAGCTCTCGGCCTGCCTGAAGGACATGATCTTCAAGGTGTGTCCTGCCCTCCTCGACTGACCATCCCGTCTGCCACATGGCGTTTGCTCACTCCCCCCGCTCCCCCCCGCCCCCTCCCAACCCCCCCCCCCCACCCAACAAACCAAAACAAAAACAACAAAAAGGACCTCGGCAAGCTCATCTACAAGGCCGCCACTCGCGTGTCCAAGGACCTTGCCCGTCACCAGGACCTCTTCGTCAACTACATTGTCACCGGCAAGCTCAAGACTTCGCAGCAGCTGGATGCCGCGTTCGAGTTCATGGCCACCCAGGCCGTCGATGCGGTTATCGACCTGGACGGCTTCGACCTCGCTTGCGGTGTTGGTGCGCCCCATCCCCTTCCTTTTGTCTTTCTCTCTTTCTCCTCTTCCCCCCTCACGCATGCTGCGCGCGGTCACCGACTGACTCTGCGTTGTTCCTCTCTTCCCCCTCGCTCCCTCCTCGGTCCTCACCCCCCCCCCCCCCTCGCCCACAGGCGTCGTCATCACCCCGAACCAGATCGAGGCCGCCGTGGCCGCCGTTCTGAACGCCAACAAGAAGCAGCTCGATGAGCGCCGCTACCGCGTGCCCGCCGGTCTGTTGATCTCCCAGATCCTGACCAAGATCCGCTGGGCCAACATGGACCTGGTGACCGCCGAGCTCAACAAGCAGCTCCTGGAGATGCTCGGCCCCAAGACCGAGGCCGATCTGGCCGAGCCCAAGAAGCAGGCCAAGGTCAAGAAGCCCAAGCAGCCGGTCGAGAAGGCCGCCGAGGCCGACTCCCCCAAGATGCGCACCTTCACCGGTGACGTCCTGAAGCTGCACAAGCCCGGTGAGAACCCCCAGATCGACCCGAAGGTGCGCCCTCGTCATCCGGGGCCGATCATTGCCCACACTTGGCCCGAGTTCGCCCTTTCTCACAGTGTCCCCCCTCCTCCTCCGGCCGGCCGGCCGGCCGCGGCCCCCCCTTCTCGCTCGATGCAGCTCATGGAGCAGCACCTCGCCTTCACCAAGGGCAAGGTCTTCACTCGTTTCCCCCCGGAGCCCAACGGTTTCCTGCACATTGGCCACGCCAAGGCCATGAACTTCAACTTCCGCTACGCCGAGCTCCACGGTGGCAATTGCTACCTGCGCTTCGATGACACCAACCCCGATGCCGAGGAGCCCATCTACTTCGAGTCCATCGAGAAGTGCGTCAACTGGCTCGGCTTCCAGCCCTACAAGGTGACCGCCACCTCGGACTACTTCGATGAGCTGTGGGACCTGGCCATCCGCGCCATCAAGAACGACAAGGCCTACATTTGCCACCAGACCGCCGAGGAGATCCACCAGTCGCGCGGTGGCGCCGACAACAAGGGCCCCCGCACGGAGTCCCCCTGGCGCAACCGCCCCATCGAGGAGAGCCTCAAGCTCTTCCACGACATGCGCGACGGCAAGTTCGCCCCCGGCGAGGCCACCCTGCGCCTGAAGATGGACATGAACAGCGGCAACCCCTACCTCTGGGACCCGGTGGCCTACCGCGTGCTGCACACCCGGCCGCACGTGCGCACCGGCACCAAGTGGATCGTCTACCCCACCTATGACTTCTCCCACTGCCTGATCGACTCCATCGAGAACATCTCCCACTCCTTCTGCACCGTGGAGTTCCAGACCGCCCGCGAGTCCTACTACTGGGTGTGCGACGCGGTGGAGGTTTACAAGCCGGTTCAGTGGGAGTACGGCCGCCTGAACATCACCCATATGATCATGTCCAAGCGCAAGCTCAACCGCCTGGTGGATGGTGGCTTTGTCAATGGCTGGGATGACCCCCGGCTGCTGACCATCGAGGGCATGCGCCGCCGTGGCTACACCCCGGATGCCATCAACAACTTCTGCGAGCTGCTCGGCATCACCACCTCCAACACCATCGTCGAGATGGCCCTCCTGGAGAATGTCGTCCGTGACGACCTGAACAAGCACGCCACTCGCGCGAAGGGTATGTCGTTGTTTTTTTTCTTTCTTTCGTCCTTTCCTTTCTCCCTTTCTTTGCCTGCCCCTCCCCCCTATTTGCCCGCTCTTGCAATGGCGCGCGCGCGCGCGCGCGCTGCATGCATGGGGGAGCCTCTCCATGTTGTGGGCATCTTCAACTATGTGTCTATCTTTTGCCCTGCGGCGGGCCAGATCCATCTGGTGGCTATCTCTCTCTCTCTCTCTCTCTCTCTCACTCACACACTCACACACACACACACTCACCATTGCCCTTCCTGTCTTTCTCTCCCCCCCCCCC